AGTGTGTGAATGAATAGTGGAATTGTAAAGTGTGTTGAGGGGTCCCGAAAAGCGCTATATAAATGCAATTTATTATTATTACTATCTATAGACTGTTTTTACTGATACATGTTTGCCTTAACTCAGAAGTGATACAACATATTGATCATGTATGAACTTTAATAAAAAGTAAAAGGACTTTCATAACACTGGCAGGTGCATTGGTGCTAATTATGTTGGTAAAGCGTGACTAGAAGATTCCATTGTTGCACAATGGAAAAGAAAAAGCCATTCCAACAAACAGGTATTACTGGTCTTTATGGTAAAACACGAGTGAGTCTCCAGCATGGACCGGTATGAAGCTATGTTTTTTGTTTCATTTCATAACAGTGCTTTCTGTTCGCAGTACTAGTAAAAAAAAAGAAAGAAAGCTAAAGATAATGTGGCCTGGTTTGTTGTAACACTGCACAATGGACTTCCATGCGACGTGTGATATCTGCAGAGTTCTCTTTAACGTTGTGTAGGGTTTTATCCCACATGTGCACTTTTCTACTCTGCCTGAGGACTCAAATCACTTTATACAACTTGGCTCATTCACCCTTTCACACAATCACTTTTTTCTGCTTAAATTCAAGTATTTACACACATCAGAGATAAGTCTGCAGACTGGGGCAGTCAAGGATCAAACCACCAAAGGTCAGATTATTAGATGACCTGCTATACAGCCACTCTACATGCATGTTGTTCACATTCAGTTCCACTGATAGCAGTGAGCAGTATAAGATTAATATATATTTGCATTATCATATAAAGCCAGTATTTTAAATGGAAGACTAATTGCAGTTCGGTCAGCCAATTGCAGAGTTAGCTTGATCTTGCAGCTCAAGTTGTTGGGCAGAAACCATGTTCTGTCTATAATCGTTTTATGCTGAGATAATATGGACAGTAAATTATTCAAAGTTTCCCATTTTTATTCTATTTTATCCATCAGGATAAAAAAAAGGGTTCCATCTTTTTTATGGGTACATAATATTAACATCATATTGTTATTAGCACAACAATCTTTAGGCAACTTAGCGTAAGCAAATGGAGATGCCACAATCTTAAACTCTAAAAGTTCTGATTTCAACAGAAACCCCTTCCAATAGTAATGAAGGTCTTATTTGTGTCTGGATATTCTGTTCTAAAGTTTCTTCAGTGATAGTTCTCTGAAATTGTATCTCTCACATTATTGACTTGGATTCTTAGTCTTGTCCTTAATCCTAAATATTTTTCAAAGATTTTGACAATTTATTCTGTAATAATGTTAAAAATAAAGAATATTTTTAACCTGCCTGTATTGTGAAAGAAGGCAACAAAAGAAAACATCTATTTAAAATCAAAACTCCTGCATTTATTTTTTCCCCTTTACTTTATGAACATGTTTTGTTTTTTTTGGGGGGTTTTTTCAGTCAGAGTAATAATAATGATCCATTTTAGCTCCTTGGGGTTAAACTGGATCAGTTTTTGCATCTGACAGCATTAACAAATGAAAGATTTTAACTTTATTTCCCTTTTTCAGCTGCCAAAATGTGTGATGAGGCTGTTCCAAGATTTTAGACCATTAGTATTGTTCACCCATACTGATGGTCTAAAACTGAGGTTTACGGGAAACTTAAGACTGAAACACATGGCATGTCTGTGTATGTCTTCTATGGGAGAGTAGGGACAGTTTCTGTGGGCGCTTGATACAGCTGCAAGAACTGTGTTTGCATCATATTTGCATATTTGAGGGTGGCTGTATCTTAGGAGGTACAGCAGGTCATCTAATAATCGGAAGGTTGGTGGATGGTGCAGACGAAAGACTGTCTGCTCCAGTCTGCATTTTACTGTTTGCTTGGGCAAGATAATAACCTCAAGTTTGTCTCGGATGCCACAGTAAATGTATGTGAAAGCACTTAAGGATAAAAAATCTGTGAACTGGGGGAGTCAGGTTTCAAACCGCTTGCTCTACCTCCTGACCACCAAGAGTTTGCCACCCGTCCTGATTTCTTGTTTTTTTGTATGTTTGTCATGATTAAATGTTTGAGATCGTCAAACAAATGTAAATATTAGACAAAGTAAATGCGAAATATACTTTCTAAATGAAAGTGTTTATTATTATTATTATTATTATTATTATTATTATTGTTGTTGTTGTTGTTGTTGTTGTTGTTGTTGTTGTTATAGCAGCAACAATTGCAATCAACTGGCAATGAGTCTTTTAAGGAGCTTTGGAAGAATTTTCTGTTGAAACTGTTAATATCAGCCACAATTTTTTCAAGTTTGTAGTTTTCAAGCATGATCTGCCTTTTTAAGGTAATGCCACAGCATCTCACTCACATTCAGGTCTTCATTTGTTTTTCGTAAGCAATTCAGAGGTGGGCTTGCTGGTTTGTTTTGTCCTTGTGCAGAACCCAAGTGCACTTCAGTTTCAACACTTTCAAGAAGATATGAAAAGTCAATGATTGAAGAAGCCATTTATTGCAGGAAGTGGAAGCAAATCATGAATGAGGCCCCAAAACCAGAGGCACCTTGACTGTTGGCTCGGAGGACCCCCTCCTCTTCCAATTACCAATTAAAGGACAAAAGAAGAAGAAGTAGAAGATTGATTAAGGTTTACTAGTAAATTGCAACAATTCCATAATGTTGTTGCCGTTTGGACTTTCAGTTAAATATTTTCTAATCATTTTTGGCTAATAAAAAAATATATATAAAATGCACTCTCTCATTAGGTTTTAATCATCTGTTTATTTATGTCACACAGACTATTTATTCTTTCTAAATAGGTCTAAAGTTTATCAATATAAATATATCTGCTTCCAAATAACCTGAACCATACATGAATGCAATATGAAAGGGTTAATCTCATAAACAGGTTGTTGGCAATGGATACTGTAATATACTTTTTAATTTGTGAGTCTGTTGTCCTTTGAGACTGGCAACCATAATGAAGCGTCTACTGAATGTCTACTGTTACTTAATTGCGTCTAATTTTGTCTACTCATAGGTTTTGGTTGTCCCCAGCCTTTTCTCCAGCATCCTGCAGCTCTTGTTGTAGGACTTTCCAACCCCAACACTTTCACTAATGAGGTATCCAATATGTTTGTTTCAACAACATGGTTACTAATAATGAATCTTTATTTGTAAGTAACAAAGTATGTGGAAAAAACTGTCCCCAAACAGAAAGTTGATACATGTCAAAATTTATTTATACAAAAAGACATAAAAACAATTCACATAATTCACATAATGATTGACATAAGATTTACTCCCCTCACAAATCCAGAGCTGATTACATGAAAACAATCACACAAACTGCAACAAATTTCTGACTGATTCACACCAACCAGTCATGTTTAAATTCAGACACTTATGAACTACTCTTTACTCAAACATGGTGTAAACACACTTTATAATAAGTGATACCAAAAGACATGTAGTGCACATCTTTACTTTGTTAATGTGAAGTAACTTCACCTACATTTATTTCTAGTTTTTTTGTTTTTCCAAACTTATGTTACACTAAGACACAATATTTTAAAAAAAACTGTGATATGGGAAAATGACAAAGAAGATGTTTATAGTGCTACAGTAGCGAATGAAGACGAGAGTCCTGCATCAACAAAAACAAGTAAATACCAGAGTAAAATCTGTTCATCTGTAAGAGGTTTGCTTTTTCAGCCTTTACTGTCGGTACTTGCACTCACAAGTATCTAAAACAATTTACAAACATGTGAAACGTCATATTGGTTCATAAAACCTACTAGAGCCATAAACACTGGCTTACATTTTCTGTAACACCTTCCTTCTAAAGGAAGTTAGTGTCTTAAACGTTTGGGGCAGCGAGGATCTTTTCAGACAGGCAACATGGTTAGGCATTTATAGTTCCTGAACTACTGCTCTGACTGGCTTTTCAGTTCTTACCCACTTAGTGACTCATGTCTTACATAGTCATACCAATCTCCTCAATCTTCCAGCCACTGGAGTTTTTTCCAAACTTGTACACAAGCCTCCGGCCATCGACTCGTTCCAGAATCTCCCTCTTATAGTAATACCTGCAGATGGAGAAGTTTCAGTTAGTTGAAGTTCAGCACATAGCATATCATCCCCTTCATCATCTGGTGCTCAGTTTAAAACAACTGAGCATTTTATATGTGAAGCAAAGAGTCTTAATGAGCCCGCCATAACAACTTTCTGACTTTTGTGAGCTGGAGGAGCTATGTATCCAATGCAACTCTGATTAGTTGGGTTAAAGTTTGATTCATAGCAAAAGTATCGAAAAAGTATCTTAAATGTGAAGAAGCTGTTACTGCTGTTACTGCAAGAACTCACCTCATTGCACGGCTGAGCTTTTCATATGTCATGCTGCTGTTTTTCTTCTTCTGGCCCCACATCTGAGCCACAGCCTCAGATTTGAGGAACTTGAAGACACCCTCGCGGCGGTCCTCCCATTTCATTAGGCCCTGGTTCTTTTCTGGGTGGATCAGAATGTCTCTGATGAATTCCCACAGGTGAGTGCCACGAGGTGCTGAAGACAGTGGGATAAAATGAGCTAAATGTCTGTTTGCATGTGCATGCTGTATTAGCATAAAGCAAGCAAGAAGAAAAGATCAATATCTGTGGTCTAGTAAAGATGCAAATGAAATGCAAAATAGAATCTGTAAAATAGTTCAGTGTTCAGATGCATGCCTACTGAAACTGAGTAAGACAGCATTTGTGGGCTTACCGTGTTTGTTTTTCTTTGGATTGTCATACATGTTGCTGCTGTGCTCTCTGCTGACTTTAGGAGGTCGCCCCCGTGGTCGTTTCAATCGGGACTCTCCTTTCTCTGGCTTGATGTACGCTTCTGTCGATGAAATGGTGACTTATCAGAAATGAATCGAAATACAGGGAATGCAAATAACTTCAAACGTTTTTTGTTGTTGTTTTTCTTGTTTACTCACTTGAAATCGGAGGGTAAGAGAACTCGGGGTCAGATTCGCTGCTGCCAGACTCTGGTGACCCGATGCTTGGAAAGCCAAACATGCCAGCTGAATACATGAGAGATATATTTATGTCACATTCTTGAACTTGAATGATAACAAGTCTTGACAAATATGAAGATAAAATACTAACTGTTGGAGGAGGAGCTGTACTCGCTGTCAGAGTGATTATCAGACATGTAGCCAGCGTCTCTCAGTGGAGTCATTGGTCCCATGGTCAGAGTGGTCAGATCATAGTCGTCCTGATAGTCAAATTCTCTTCTGTTGACAGCTTCTTCAGCTGTAAGTACAAATTAGCAAGTCCACTTGTAAACTTGAGTCTACATAATATGTCAACTTTGAACATATCTGTATAAGACGTACCTTGACCAATTTTAATTGTGCTGAGTAGAGGAAAGTTTTGTCCCAGGTTGTCCAAGAAGTTGTCCAAGAGCTGACAGGTCTCGTTCAGTTCTTGTCCTGATAACATCTGCATCTCTGGGGAAGGAACGATTACGAGTTTACATGTATTTTCCATACATAAAAATAATTCTCCTTCACATAGCTAGATGTTAAAAGTAACATAAGCATTTACCAGGCATTTTGGTCTTGTGTTCCTGTAGACTCTGATAGAGGTGTGGGCCAAGCTGCACACCAAAGATCCCAATCATCTGCTCGCGGTTCATCTGGCAAAGGGCGGAGCCATCCATGGCACAGTTTGCCAGACTAAGGGTGTTTGCGTCGAACTTGGTGCTCTCTACTTGGTCACTGATCCACTCCAACACATGATCTGCTGTCCAGTAATTAGGGCTGATCTGCCTGTAGCCCTGACCTGCAGTGACAGCAGAGATTATTTATTATTCCTCAGCTGTGCAGATACACAGTAACAGAAATTTAGCATATTTTCATAAAAACCATGATCTTGGTTCATACACACACGTTTGAATCTGACCTTTTTAGTTTAGCTTAACTCTGAAGCCCTGAAGTTCGGACAAGTAGAGTGAAACTGTTTTCACCATGAGGTCACAGCATTCTCCTGTTGTGCGGTTATGCTGAGTTAAACATTACTTGCCTGGTAAATCATTTAGTGAGTGTCTACATAAGGTCAAAGCAAAGGTGAGCAGGCTGGCTGAAGTTTGAAATGGAGCGTCTGTTTACTTTGAGATTAGTCTGTAGATAAAACCGGACTGGCCTGGTGAACTAAAGCTTCAAAGCCAAGAGACTTATTTTGAAAATCTTTTGTGTGACACAGATCAACTAAACACGTGAAAGGTCAGAAACAACATGTCTCACCACCTATGTTGGGACTGTATGCTGGATTGCTGATTTGCAGCGGACTGATGCTGGACAGCATAGTGGCCTGATGTTGCAGCACATCTGGCAAACCAGTCTGATACATGGTTAGGTTGGCATGAGTCAGAACAGTGCTGAGGCACGGCGATGACATGGAGACACTGAAACATAGAAAATGCTTGTTTACATACCAGAAACACTAGCAAACAGGAAACCAGCAAACAAAGCTTATTAAAAGCAGGATCATTGAAGCGTGAAGCGATTATTTGAGTTAGGTATGTATATAATTTACCTGATTACAACACTGGCCACAATATGATGAAACAGAAAGACGTCCTAAGACAATCCAGTGTCAGGATCCTGCTGTTTGAGTGCCACTCTGCGTCTGTATCCTCGGCAAAAAAATGTACCTGCTTTCACCTTTTGAGCTTTATAGCTGTGGGGGATGGACTCAGGTAAATTCAGGGGAATTCCACCTGAACATGGCCACGCCTCCATTGCTACTCCTCCCCCAGTTTCCTGAGAACTCGATCAACAAAACAAACCTGCCTTTTATTCTCCGCTTATATTTCTACATCATATTTTGTACTGACTGGGCAAGCTTTTTTTCTTTTTCCTCAGAGTTTTGTTGCTTGACATTTCTTCTGTTCCATTACGGTTCTTATTCTGGGTCCCTTTTGAAATACTTTTTGTACATTTCTACTGTTTTTGAACTAACTTGACATATTAAATGTGAAGGTATTGACGCAGACACGTTTCACATCAGTGAGGAGTGTGTGTGACAGACATTTGCAAATAGTCACAATCTAAAAAATAGACACAAAGAGGTGCCTGTGTGGACAGCTACCTTTATCAGTTTTACCAGTCAACACAGGCAAACAGTGATAAAAGCATGTTATGTAGTTCTACTGCACCCAGCTGCCCTGTTTGACAAACACTAAGCTGAGTGGTGACCTCATATTTACCAGGTTATACACATAAACACACACAGGCACAGAGAAAGATTTTCATGACAAGAAAAACGTTTGTATTGATCAACCTGTATCTTTAATACTCGTGTGAACATGAAAATATGACTTGTACATCCAAAATATCCAGCAGTAAGTTTTTGCCCAAAATATGTGCATTTCTATCTCAGCCTTGATGTCCAGGATGACTGACATTTATTTTATGGACCTGCCTCACATATTTAGCCAGGTTTATGACTGCTGGGCCATATCTGACCTAGACTACGCTTGTAGACTGCACCACATCAAGCCTTTTGACCCATGTTTGACCCATGTTTGACCCATGTTTGACCCATGTTTGTGGGGGAACTGAGCTGTAAGTCCTAAAAGCAGCTCAGATTAGGCCTAAATGTGTCTGTTTCCAAAGTCTCTACCAAGCTAAAACAAACCACACCTGCCAAACCTCTTATCAGTGCACAAAGCCTTCAGTTCATGTTACCAGCGATGGCAAAAGCTTAATGAAGTTATGTTGCCTGTTGACTTCAGAGGTGCTGTAAGTTATTCTTACTCTGAAGCAGTCAGCACACTGTATGTTTCCCTTGCTCCAGTCACAATTGTAGAAAGTTAAGAGTGTCCAGCTCTCTTAACATTACTGTACCTAGATACATATAACAGCTCAAAGCCTAGAGAAGTGTGAACTTCATCCTTATAACAGCAAAGAAATATCAGTGGCCATATTGTTAGTATTGGGTACTAATACTTGTTTAGATAAACATCAGAGGATATGAACACAAGAGGGCATGTTGATAATTATTCCATCCTAATGGTAAGATGGTATTCTGCAGACACAGAGTGTAAGTGCTCTGTTCAGGTGTCATATTGCAGAAAGAAACAGGTTTTCTGTCTAATGCCTGACTCAGTGCTGATACCTAGTGGTTAGTAACCTCCTGCCAAAGCCTACAGCATTTGTAAAGTATTTGTTCTGCTAATATAAAAAAGGATCTCTTACAATATGGGTTGGCTTGGCCAAGTATAGAAAGAAATACAGATATACCATAAAAATGTACCATTGAAATACTGTCAATTATTGCTTTTTTTAAAAAGGCTTTAAAAAGTAACATTGTTGTTACGTTTCATGTCGTATTAGAGTTTTGTTGTACTCTTTAATCTCTTGGGTGACTGTTTAGGACCAGGGTCTGTGGTCCCTGTAAAATAGTGTTTTTCTTGTCCTCGATCATTGATTCCAGAAGTAATCATGAAATTCAGCAACAGGAAGCTATGGTTTTCTACACGAGTGCTGTAACTACCACAAAGTGTTTAACGCAGCACAGCGCAGATATTCATTTGTATGCAAATAAAAAGGCATCATGGATTTTATTTTTTTGACTCAGTGTGTTGAAATGTTTTGCAGTGAAACACAAATATGCTCCCAGCAAGAGAAATAACATGGAACACTGGAGAAATGAACTCATTTAACCAAATCAAAGTAAACTTTGTCATCTCTATAGCCAGTGCAGCACACAGAGACGAGACAACGAGGCTCCAGTTAAATCGGTGAAAAAAAAGCAAATAGATATAAAAGAAGTAATAAAAACCTGCATATTATCCAAATTGGCCAGTCAGCATCAGCATTAGCAAAACAAGTAACTGCCTCTGTTATTCATAGGCCAATAAACACATCATCACTCTGTATATTTAAGTTCACAAAGAATAAAGGTATGAGACCACAAAAGAACTCGTGCTTTAGGCCTTAAAGTCGAATGTTTTTCTTCTGATGCATGCTTGGGGACATAGCAATAAGTACACATCTGGTTCAACATTAAGCATTGCAGTTATGAAAGCCTGCTTTCAGTGACAGGAACACCAGGAGACCAGACACGTCTTGTTTGCTGAAACACTTCTCTCATACTGCCTTGAAAAAGAAAAACCAGAACAGAAGAAGAAGAATGTGGTTTTCAATTTAAAAGAAAATCACCAAGTTTGACTTTGGAGTAATGTGTGTTGTACTTCAATCATTTAGAATTTAGGCAACTTTCATGTATATCCGACATTTTTCACAGCTCAGCACTTGGATCTTCAATTCTTTGCACTTTTTGTCCCAATACTTGGAATCAGAAACCTGAGCTAGAGCAAAAAGACTTTAGCAGTTTTTATGTATTAACCTCCTACATCACAGCGGTACAGAATTTACTGTTCTCAACGTTGTTCCTGTTTTAATTAGGCTTTGCGTTATTCATAGAGGCATTTTTGAATTAATGACATTCCCGCGCTACCATCAGATCATAATAAACTGATCAGTATTATTAGGAGAGAATTTAAAAGTCCTAAAACATATCACTTGTCTCTGGTCATAAAATGAGGGTGAGACGTCACAGGCTCTCATTCAGAGTGAGAAGAGATATTAGGTGTGGACAGGTGGTGACGTGTGTCCTATAATCCTATTTCCTACTAACCTTTGGAATCTGTTTCAGTCAGTAATTGCTAAAGAGCATTGCTTTCTCCCAGATTTCACAATGCTGCTCACTCAGTTTCCCCAGCGGATTACAGGAATGCTACACAACAGGTTTTTGCTTTCATCGCCTGAAGACCAACGGACAAATTCTTTCATCGCCTTCAATTCATGCTCTTTTTCGTCATTCTTCATTACTCTACCTGGACTATTGCTACAGTTGGGGCATTTCACAGATGTTTCGCAGAATATGCCTTTAGCCCAATCACAACCCACATTAAAGTTTTACTGTGACCCCCTTTCAACAATATAGTTTCAATAAATGTAATTAGATTTATGCAACATGATGAAAAATTTAATGGTGTTTTCCTATAATGATGTTGCAATATGAACATGACACCAGACATCTCAAACAGCAAAACAATATTAACTACAAA